TGATGCTGCCTTCTCAACAGGATGGGGCCGGTTAGAAAAGCTTACCTCCAAAAATAAGAAACTCCCCATGCCCCACGGTCTTCCGGTACCGCCAGTATGAGTTCTCCCTATCCGGCGTTGTAACAATCAAACCTCAGAACATTATTCCATAAAAGGCCATGTGTGACAGGCCCTCCTGCAGATGTCCCTTGGGCTCACATCTCTTTCAGGTACCTTAGGAAGAATTAGCCTTCCACAGTGTGGGCAGCCGGGAGGTGTCAACCATCCACACGCTTCCAGTAGTACACAAGACCCGATCAAACATAACTTATCTCCTCAACTTTGTCTCTTCCTGATAATAACAGTTAGCCTCCTACGCCTTCCTCAACCTCTCATTCTGCGACCATTGTCAACGATCAAAGTCATCGAAACCTCATGCGTAGTCTCCTAGGTCTGTGTCATCGATTTCATGTACCAGCTTTCAACATCGGAACTCTATGCCAAATCGGAAACCAAACATCGCTCGCCGAAACTCTGCAAACTCTAGCCATGGATCCAGAGACGCAATGGCGAGCTCTCATGAACTCGATGGTGTAGGAAAACGATGATGCAAATGATGAATTCTATGTGAAGCTGACAATTTTTCTACAGAAAGCGAAACGTTCAGATATAGTCATAATGGCGAGTGACTTTAACGCTCAAATAGGAAAGGTGAGATAGTCGGAAAGACATCTTGGAGGTATCTATGGAATACCATGCCAACAAACCGACAACGGTGATTGTCTTCTGCAATTCTGTCCCGACAATCACTCGTTTCTGACCAGCACTAGCTTTAGGCTTATGGCAAAACACTGTCATACATAGTGTCAGCTAACACTAAACCAACGATAGACACAAATAGATCACATTGTTTAAGTCATGGTTGGATAGGATCGGTGGAAGATTGCTGTCCTCTCTTGAGTACAAATATGGACTGTGATCACGTGCAAGTACGAGTTCGTGCATGTCTATGACTTACTGGCCACAGGAAATATGAAGCAGTACGGACCATGTGTGCCCGCTTCGTAGATGAGAACATCAGGTAGGCATTTAGATGGGACTTAGCACAGGATTTGTATGAACGCGGCAGCAACGCTCATCCTCAAAAAAACTGGTATGACAATAGGTCAGCTGTGGAAATAAAGGAAAAGACGACTGGTTACCTACACCCGAAGGTCCGCCTGATATTCTTTCTTTCTATCGACAGTAAAATTTCGCATACCTATGCTCAACGCGTTGCACCATTACTACTATACACGTGTAGGGTATTGACTAATTCGATGAACAAAACATTCAATAATCAATCCCCCCCCCATCTCCACCTAATCATCTTATTCAACTTAAGTACACTAACTTCATTCCATCCTAATGTCTATGCTTGTGTGTGTGTGTGTGTGTGTGTGTTGTTAATGCTTTCATTGCAACAGCTCACTTACTTTCTACATTATTCATCTCATTCACATCTGTCATTCTATATTTAGCTAAATTCCTATCCTCCCCTATTCTAACTCACCCCAACTGCCCAGTTTCACCTTTCTACTTCACCTCACTCACAGTCATCACATGCAATTTGATAGATTAGATTAGATTAGATTATTTTGTTGAATTACTTCTCTCAGATGCTTAAGACAGTCGACAAAGCTTATCTCTCAGTCAGTTTGTAGGTTCAAATGTCATCCCAATTAATTCCAGCTTTCTTCAAACATCCTACATAAACTTTCTCATGTTCCTTCCTCAGAGGGTAACACTATCGAGGCTGTCAACTCCTTTCTACTCGTCTTATCACTATTATTCCTACTCGTCTTACTCTTATTCTTTCCTTTCCTCTTTCTATGTTTCTATGACATTTTTAATAAAATGTGCAGAATAACTATGTGTTTTAGTTCCTTGTTGTACTGACTAGTCAGTTTTTGAGCTATATCATTTACACATTTGATAAACCTGCCTTCACTGACTCACATGGGATGAGATGACTTAAAGTCGATTAAACTGCCTGTTGGAAAGTGTCAGTCTCCTCTAGACGGTAGTATTCAAACCATCGTCCGTCCTCCATTTCATCCTGGAATCTAACATGTGTAATTCTCCTTGTTCATTATCTACCTCCTCGTACGTGAATTGGATTGCATCCTCTACTGAATTTCTGTATGTGAGGAAAGTGTAGATCTGTTCCGATTTCAACACAGTAGTAAATGTGTCATCCACATATTGCCACCATATATTAGGTGCAGGACTAGACGTTTGAAAAGCCATGTTTTCTCAACTATTCATAAATATATCTGCCATGATCCGGGATATTGGTGATCCTATTGCTGCTCCTTCTGTTTGTCTGTACATTTTGTCCTGAAACTTGAAGACTGTGAAGGTCATGCCCAACAGTCCGTCTAATATGATCTTATCAAGCGATATCTTAGTTCTGTGAATAAGTTGTGAGTCAATATTTAGTTGACTTCTGACTGCTTCCAATGGCATATTGATTGGTATTTTAATATAAAGACTTGTTACATGGAGGCCTTAGTTTTAACTGGTAGAAGTCTACTATTGCCAGATTTCAATGGTTCCTAATAGGACACAATATGGATGCTAATTACTTCGCTAGTTAATTTGTTGGGGGTATTTTTGCAGTGAAGTATGGGTCTATTACGATAACTTGGTTTATGAACCTTAATGGTACCATAAATCCTGCTAAGATTATTAGTTTTAGGCATTACATTGAACCATTTAGACTCACCTAGAGATCCCTTCAGTCGGCTTATCAGATCGGCTGTAGACTTCTTAATTTTATCCACAGCCGTGTCTAAAGGTTTCTTGATTTTCTCATATGGTGTTACCCTATAAGGAAGGAACATCAGAAACTTTACGTATGATCCTGAACAAAGCTGGAATTAGTTGAAGTGGCATTTAAACCTACAGACTCACTTAGGAATAAGCTTTGTTGACTGGCTTAAGCATCCGATGGAACCAATCCAATTCACGTACGAGGAGGTAGATAATGAACAAAGAGAATTACTCATGTTGGATTCCAGGATGAAATGGAGGACAGACGATGGTTTGAATACTACCGTCTAGAGGAGACTGACACTTTCCAACAGGCAGTTTAATCGACTTTAAGTCATCTCATCCCATGTGAGTCAGTGAAGGCAGGTTTAATCAAATGTGTAAATGATATAGCTAGAAAACTGACTAGTCAGTACAACAAGGAACTAAAACACATAGTTATTCTCCACATTTTATTAAAAATGTCATAGAAACATAGAAAGAGGAAAGGAAAGAATAAGAGTAAGACGAGTAGGAATAATAGTGATAAGACGAGTAGAAAGGAGTTGACAGCCTCGATAGTGTTACCCTCTGAGGAAGGAACATGAGAAAGTTTATGTAGGATGTTTGAAGAAAGCTGGGATTAATTGGGATGACATTTAAATCTACAAACTGACTGAGAGATAAGCTTTGTCGAATGTCTTAAGCATCTGAGAGAAGTAATTCAACAAAATAATCTGATCTAATCTAATCTATCAAATTGCATGTGATGACTGTGAGTGAGGTGAAGTAGAAAGGTGAAAGTAGGCATTCGGGGTGAGTTAGAATAGGGGAGGATAGGAATTTAGCTGAATATAGAATGACAGATGTGAATGAGATGAATGATGTAGAAAGTGACTGAGCTGTTGCAATGAAAGCATTAACAACACACACACACACAAGCATGGACATTAGGATGGAATGAAGTTAGTGTACTTAAGTTGAATAAGATGATTAGGTGGAGATAGGGGGGGATTGATTATTGAATGTTTTGTTCATCGAATCAGTCAGTACCCTACACATGTATAGTAGTAATGACCCAACACGTTGAAGAACATGAAGTGACATGACTATAAAAACTGGAAACGTCGTCACCAAGTAAATAAATAAAGTAAACAAATCTAATACAGGCCTTCATTAGCCTGAAACCAGTGTGGAGATCTTCTGCACTCAGCATGTGGAACAAGATCCAGATTTTCAACACCAACCTAGTCAAGTCAGTGCTTCTGTATGGTTCAGAGACTTGGCGCGTCACGAAAGGGATTTCCAATAAACTACAGACATTCATCAACAACTGCTTACGCTCACTCGCTACTGAAGATCAGATGGATCGCCAGAAAGAATAAGCAACAAGGAACTCTGGCTGGCTGGCAACGAACCAACCAAGAACCTATCACGCAACAAATATGCACTGGACGGAAGTGGAGATGAATTGGGCATACACTGAGAAGGCCGACTGAGGATATCACGCGTCAGGCCCTCGAGTGGAATCCCCATGGGAAGCGACGAGTTGGACGTCCAAGGGTGACATGGAGGAGGTCGTGCCAAGAAGAAAAGAGAGCTTCTGGGCTGTCGTGGAGCCAGGTTCAAAAGATCTCAGAGAACAGAGGTCACTGGAGATGTGCTACTGAAGCCTTATGTTCCACTAGGAACCCAAGGGACTAATAATAATAAAAAAATACAGAATTATATTGTACCACAGTGCCCAAGTTTGACACCTTTATTAACTGTTTCACTAGTTAAAATAATATCTGCTGCTATATGGTTCAGAAACTTGGCGCATTACGATAAGCATTTTCAACAAACTACAGACATCATACATTAACAGCAGCCTATGCTGGTTCGATACTGAGGATTAGATGGCTAGAATAATAAGCATAAGCAACAAGGAACTCTGCAAACGAGCGAACCAACCAACCAATCAGAAGCTATCGTCCAATCAATATACCATGGAAGAACATGAAGATGGACTGTATTAGCGATACACTGAGAAGGTCAATTAGGGAACATCATGCACCAGGGCACAAAGAGGAAACGACAAGTTGGGTGGTGGAGTCATGTTTTTAAAGACTGCAGAGAACAGAGTGGAATGGAGATGTACGAGTGAAGCCGTATGTTCCACGACGAACAATAAAAATAATAATAATAATAATAATAATAATAATGAAAAGACAAAAGTAGACACTTACCATCCATTACAATTAAAGTGGTAATTTCAATCACTGATCTGAATATTTCAATCTCTTCCTTTATCATATGAAATTCTTTTTCATGATTAGATAATGTTAAAGTTTGATTACAGAATTTTATGATACATTTTTGAAATTTATGAAGATCATCATCAGGATCATTATGATTATTGAATAAAAATTGATTAAATTCGTCTAAGTAATTACATAATATATTAGAATAGATACATGATTTTTTTAAATAATTTATCATTTTATAAAAAATTGAAAGTTTATTTGTTATTTTCAATATTTGCCAATTATTATCAATAGTATTGATGTATGATTTCAATAAATCAATACCGAATAATCGACGTATATCAGGTTTGATAAGAAAATAGGCTAAAAATTCTTCTAAATCAATAAAATAATAAGGATTATTAGTTATCATCATCATCATCATCTCTGATTGTTCTTTATCATTATCATTTATGAATAGATCAAGAAATTTTTTAAGGTATGGATAAATTGTTTGTGTTTGTATATTGATAAAACTTGATGTTTCCCTTTGATAATCTAATAGCATATTTTGTGTAAACATTTCAAAGTGTACTTGAAATACTGATGAAAGTATTGAGAAACAGGATGATAAACCATCTCCTATAATATTAATCCATACCTGTATCAGGGGTGGGGAAAGGAAAAAAAACAGTATAAGCTACTGTAACATACTCATCATCATCATCATGAATATCAACACAGGACCAGGCATTACTGTGTAACGGTCCGACTTCCCACTATACTTCATACCACTACATCAAGTAAAAAGGCAGTCAGCTGCAACATGAACATAAGAAAATTCAGTCACAAAAGAAATATAAAGTACCGTCAACGGAAGAAACTTAAAGGAAGTAACCTCCTTCACTTATCTAGGAAGCATTGTTTCAACTACAGGCGGGACGGACGAGGACGTCAAAGTCAGAATCGGAAAAGCAAGACAGGCGTTCATTAGCCTGAAACCAGTGTGGAGATCTTCTGCACTCAGCATGTGGAACAAGATCCAGATTTTCAACACCAACGTCAAGTCAGTGCTCTTGTATGGTTCAGAGACTTGGCGCGTTACGAAAGGCATTTCCAATAAACTACAGACATTCATCAACAACTGCTTACGCTCGCTGCTGAAGATCAGATGGCCAGAAAAAATAAGCAACAAGGAGCTCTGGGAACGAACCAACGAAGCAAGAACCTATCACCCAACAAATATGCACTGGAAGAAGTGGAGATGGATTGGCCATGCACTGAGAAGGCCGACGGAGGACATCACGCGTCAGGCCACACCCTTGAGTGGAATCCCCATGGGAAGCGACGAGTTGGACGTCCGAGGGTGACATGGAGGAGGTCGTGCGCGGGGAGAAATGAGAGCTTTTGGGCTGTCGTGGAACCAGGTTCAAAAGATCTCAGAGAACAGAGGTCACTGGAGATGTGCTACTGAAGCCCTATGTTCCACTAGGAACCCAAGGGACTAATAATAATAATAAAAGAGAGAAAAGAAGAATGACAAAATGGTGAGATGCCGTACAGCGTCGTTAACATGAGGATAATGTGTGTGGAGACACATCTACGCCATACCATCACCTACAGTCAGTCTCCAACCACCACTCGTTCCTCTTGTCCCACAGACCCCAACCACCTAGTCTCCATCGCCACCCATACACGCCTCAAACCAACAGTCACACACTTCATCCATTGGTGCCACCATGTTTTAGTCTGGCCACCTCCAACCTTTTCCCAGCCTAAACCTACTTCCGACAACATTGTGTGATGAGGCACACGCTGACTAGGCATACGTAACACGTGTCTCAACCAGGCATTTCAGTCGATCAAGGTTCACAATCGTGTCAACAACAACATACACGGTCTATACTATAAAGGCAACGGTGGTCAAACACGTGAAGCCATCTCATGTCTTCCACTTTCAATGGCCATGTTTCATAGGCATACACAGTAGAACAGAGCAGACTGCTTTGCAGTATACGCGACTTTTAATAGACAAACGGATATCACAGTGGCGTCACAGGTGATGTAAGTTGGCAAAAGTCAATCGAGCCTTTTGTATACGTGCAGAGATCTCATCGGCAACTGACCCACTAGGGTAGTGCTGATCCTACTTCTCAGGTAAGTGAAGTGGTCAACACACTCAACCACTTCACTCTCTATTGTTATCCGTGGCATTGTTGAAGATCAATCCTGGGGCAACAATTGGCATTTGGGTGGTGAGAAACGCATCCTAAATATTTTTAAATTCCCACTCAGTGTTCAAAAGACTCTGCATCTTGTCAGCATCTTCACCTAACAGGACAATGTCATCTGCATATTCTAGGTCTAATGAGAATTCTCCTGTGATTAGGTCAACATTTGTGTAACCTGGTGACAAGAGGGAGACCTTCATAAGAATATCTATGATGAAATTGAATAAGAATGGAGACAGTGGGCATCCTTGACGGACACCACTCGATGAGCATAGCTCATCTACTGTAAGATATTATGACTGACATCTCTACTTCCTTATAGGCATTCAAAATATATTTGAAGATGTTAAGATTCTATGTATGGCTTGCTAGAATGCTGTAAATGAAATTACTATGACAAGCATTCAAGTTACCCAGTTAGTACTACGATGTCTGTTGAGCGCAAATAGATGACAAAGTCAGTCAATTGTTGATAGAATTCATTCTTGATTGTATCCGGGCTTCAATCCATCGAAGTATAGGCAGAGATGACAAAGAGACATTCATTTTAGTCTATTAATTAGAAATATCACACACACTGAATGGACCGTATCATTTACTGGACGATCACGTTTCGGACATAATTTATTGTCCATATTCATCTCAACTGTTAATTGTACAACTTTGAGTCAGACTTTATATAGTCCTAAATTTCTCGCCCCCTTTGTGATATGGGCAGTAAGATTTCCCATATATCTAAGACAGGTGTAGAATCATTTCTATTACTGCATGTATTTGATGTTGATTCGATAAACGAAGATTCATTCATCAATCTCTTCCTCTACGCAACTAAGTTGGTCTTCAATACTGTAACAGAGCGATAGGTGAGCTTTTCTCTAAATTTCTTATCTTATTACGATTTGATAACTTAAAATTATATTGCCTCATTAGATCATCAGAAACGTTTAACCTACAAAGCTTGTTTGTTGGTTTAAATGCCAACTTGAATCCCAGTCAGCCTTAATAAGAATTCTTCACAATGCTTCTGAGGTCCCTTCCTTCTGTGGTAATACATTGAAGGCTTTGAATTCTCTCTCAACCCTGTTACCATTATTACTATTAGTAGTAGAATTGTTATTAATAACACCTGTATTACTATTACTACTACTACTGGTAATACTTTTCTTTCGATTTCCTATGAATTTATTTATAAGCTTAGGTGGGTAGTTAATCAGACCGCAAGGTATTCTTAATATATCTAATTTCTTGTTGTAGATTCTCTGGTCTACTAGTAAGCTTTTGCACCCTATCGCTTATGCATTTAACATCAGTTAATTCACAGGTAAATTGGATTGGATTCACCATTAGTTATTATTTGTCCCTTGGGTTCCTAGTGGAACATACGGCTTCACTCGCATATCTTCATTCCACTCTCTTCTCTGTAGTCTTCAAAACGTGGCTCCACAACTGCCCACAAGCTTTCATTTCTTACTTACATGATCTCCTCTATGTCAACCTCAGACGTTCAACTCGTCGTTTCCCCCTTCGGGCTCCCCTCTATGGTCTGGCCTGACGCGTGATGTCCCCGAATGGTCTACTCAGTGTATGTTCAATGCATTCCATATAGATTTTCTTCTGCATATTCGTTGGGTGATGGGTTATTGGTTGATTTGTTGCCAGACCAGAGTTTCTTGTTGCTTATTTTTTTCTGGTCATGTGATCTTCAGTATCGAGAGAACGTAAACGGCAGTTGTTGGAAACGCTTTTTGTAACGCGCCAAGTTGGATTGGATTCACTAGTGAATTAATATGTGTCAGAGATTGATAACCGAATCTTTGCTTATTGAATCGTCACCAACTACATGCAGTAATAGAAATGATTCTACACCTGTCACAGATATATGGGAAATTCTACTACCCTTGTTATCACAAAGAAGAAGAGAAAATTAGGACTACATAAGTTGTGTCTCAAAGTTATGGAGATGAATATGGACAACAAATGATGTCTGGAACATCACCTAGTAAATGATACTGTCCTTTCAATGTGACATTTGTAATAAACAGACTAAAATGGAATTTCAATCTCCCGTATTTCCCAAGTTTTACTCCTATATTAACAAAGACATTGTTTCTCCTGCCAATTACTTCTTACTCGAGTTGAAACTTCTAGCCTAACAGCACACAGATGACTGTTGATGTGGATTTAATCGAGTAGCGCAACTTCGGTTTGAGTGCTAAGTGATACACCGATGCCACAGAGTCCCTGGATAAGCCTACATGAAACATACTTTCCAGGCTAATAGATCAGGAAGTAATTCAAAGCACTCCAGAATTCTAATTAAACCTGACTGTTACTTCCATCTGCATCAAGGTATGAACGTTGAAGGTGGCGAGGTTGAACGGTATGCGTCGTTTCAGGATAGCTGTATTAGATGGCACACTGGAAAATATCTTTATAGGAGCAACTATTAATCGACTTAAAACGGTACAGACAGACCAGAAGTCTAAGCAATGGAGAGCAACCGAGTAAAGTGAAGAAGAAGACAAAAGGGAAAATGGTAATGATAGAAAAAATACAGTAATCGGTTAAAAAGTTAGCCGTGCGGAGAGCTTCACTATTGGTAGGAAAGTTTATTAATAGCTTCCAAATCTTTCTTTTATATTGTAAGTTCATAGTTCATATCTTTTGTAAGGACTGGGATACTACCCAAGCAACCAGACCGAAGCAGATGGTTGTGTTAAGTGACCCCTCCTCGAACCTTTAACTTAAATTCTAATCCACAAGGCAATGGAGCGACATCAAGAGCTGCATTCCCATGATTCTCGGTGACCAAAATAGGTTTATATGCTATTCGTTTCACCTGAAACCTGGAAATCCATAAATATTATTGGTTTGGAATCAAGGTTTTCCAACTTCTTCGGTAAAAAGTGTCAGACATTCACCTCCGCCTTTTCATATATAGGAAAACACTCCCATCACGTGAAAGCACTGAATATGGTTTCTCTGAGATAGGCTGTGAAGGCATACCAGAGCGCACTTATTAAGTGACAATCTCCATCATGCCCAAACGCATGCTGTCGTACTTTAGAATTACTTACATAGTGTTGCAACCGGATACGAGCAATCCTACGGAGACAACGATAATTGAACACACACACACACACACAGAGTCGTCTCATATCCTCAGATCAAAGAGACCAAGTTTCACAGGTGTAGAGCAGAACTGCTCACATCAAAACGTTATAAATCCAACCTTTCACAATCAAACGACTAATATCATGACGTTATCAAAGGTAGCTCAGATTAACGTAAACTCTCCTCTGGTTTTTGATATGCGATTAGAAAGTTTATCACTTATACACGAAATTTTCAACTATACATCGTCCAATAGCTCATCACTAAGGAGAAGGTGAAGGCATAGGCAATCTCAATAGTCCATAGAACATGCCATACTTTCGGACATAATAATAATAACTTTTTTTAAACCTTCAATTATCAAAAAAAAAAACAGATAAAAACATACATACCTCTTTTTCAATTTTTAATGTTTTCACACAAGGTGGTAACAGATGACCGAGTATTTCTAAATTTTTTGAAACTATTGAGCAAATAGACATAGTATCATTATTGTTAAGCATATTATTATTATTAATTACAGCAGTAATAAGATCTTTAAGGAATTCACAAGCACTGGATTGATCATTTGGTTTCATAGTGATTAATCGATTATAAAACTCTTTAGGTAAAGAGTATTTATTCTTATCAAAATGTATTTCATTACCATGTTTTTCATCTGTTTTATCATTCCCTTGAGGAAATAAAATTTTATTTATTAAATATAAAACTTGTTCAAAATTTGATGTATAGAGTTTAAGGTTTTCTTCAACATTATTCCATGCTGAATTAACAGAATTTTTCTTCATTCTGTAAAAAAGGGGAGGCGGGGAGGGTGAGAGGAGGGTTAAAATAGTGACTTGTAAAATCAATAATATTTTGTACAATCAAGAAACCAGATATATATATAATATGAACCAAGAAAGCTACTTCCTTTCTTTCTTTTAAACAAATAATTCTTATATAACCCTATAATTAAGTCTTAGAAGAACGTGAATAACCGTATAGGCTGATAACTGATATTTCGCTAAATTATGCCATCTAAGAGGCTACCGAGATATCTGACTATCTATTAAGGATCGAGTGTACTGTGTTGTAGTTTGTTCTGTTCTGTTACGTGGACGTAAAACATAATCATTAATGGTAGAGGATATGAGAAGGCTTCAAGTGTTTGACAACTGTGGTGTCATGGTGTCACCACGTCAGAGTGGAGAGGGAAGTCACTTGATGCAGTTGCGAAATTTCATCGACCGAGATGGCTGAGACATGTATTACAAGAGCCTAGTCGCCGTCTACCTCATTGTACAATTCTCACATGCAGGCTGGAAAAAGGTTCAAGGTGGCAATGAAGTACTCGACTGTTAGGTTGAGCCACATAAGGAGTCGCAAACAAACCCGTTGGGGTCTATGACACAAAATACACCAATGGTTTAGAAATCTAGGTGAGACGCATCAGAATCGATGTCGGTGATACAGATGGATCCATACTTCAGCATTTTCTCACTCATTAGTCCTCTCTTCTACCGCTTTCGACCGATAAACCTACATCTATTCATCTTCCATTTTATTGCCTTGTTCCTTTGTTGATCCAGATGATGACACACGATTCAACAAAGATTCGCATTACTATTCATGATCTATCTCATTAAAATATATTTAAACACTTTCAAAAATCAAGAACAAAGCAAAACATCGCACAAAAATGATGAGACGATGATGTGAAGATCGTCGTCGTCATCGATAAACATACAACTAGGCATTACTGCGTAACCCTCCGAGTTGTCATACCTCATATCACTACATCAAGTAAAAAGCCAGTCAGCTGCAACATGAACATAAGAAAATTCACTCAAAAGAAATATAAAGTACTAAAAGAGAGAAACGAAGAATGACAAAATAGTGAGATTCAGTATGGCGTCGTTAACATGACGATAATGTGTGTGGAGACACATCTACGCCATATCATCACCTACAGTCAGTCTCCAACCACTCCTTCCTCTTGTCCCACAGACCCAAACCACCTAGTCTCCATCGCCACCCATACACGCCTCAAACCAACAGTCACACACTTCATCCATTGGTGCCGCCATGTTTTAGTCTGGCCACCTCCAACCTTTTCCCAGCCTAAACCTACTTCGGACAACATTGTGTGATGAGGCACACGCTGACTAGGCGTACCTAACACGTGTCCCGACCACCCATCTCAGTCGATCAAGGTTCATAACCTCATCAAATGATTCACCTCTACTCCCTAAAACTCTACACCTGACTTCTGCATTACTCACGTAGTGTGGTGACATCACGGAATACAGCCTATACTATACTTACTATACTATACTATACTATACTATGAAGGCAACAGTGGTCAAACACGTGAAGCCTTCTCATGTCTTCCACCTTCGATGGACATGTTTCACAGCCATAGAGTAGAACAGAGAGGACTGTTGTGCAGTACACGCCACCCTTGATAGACATGATGTGAAGACATCGAAAACAAAAAGGAGTTCGATGACAACAGCAAAGGAAAAGAGTTAAGTTAAGAGTGTCATAGATGATAATTGGTGTGTGTTTACTACCTAGAATTTCAGTTCACTATTTATTCAGAAGAAAAGAAAGTCGAAAATCGAAATCCACTCAATATTCGTGCAGTAGGCAATGAGGTGCACCTATTACATATAACGGCTAATCATACTACTACCTGTCTGACTGGCGCTGGCTGACTGACTGGCTGAGTCAACTTGAGACGATAGCGATTATAACAGCAACAGCAACATCTAGCAGAAATCAACATCCTTCTTAATCAATTAACATATGATGTATATGATTTGAGATTTGAGTGATAGAGGAAGGATGTTAAACAGCATAAATGCAGTGGCAATGATGGGAGTGTTCAGATTGACTAGAAGCAATTCGTGGTTTGCATAACCGTGGCGCCAACCGATCCCTCATTGGTTACCCAAACGACTCTACTCTAAGTCTAGGCGTTTGACATACATATCCTAGTACTCACTCAACAAGCACTACCTGATTTTTAAAGTATACTTGATAGAGGTCACTCAAATGATCGTATACTTCATGTTTAGCTGCATCTGGACTGATTGACTGATAAAAACATCGTGGAAGCTTGCACACAGGAGTGTATCAACTCCATCTGCCACACTTCATATAAATACACAAAGAACAGGTGAACAGAAGAAGAAGAAGAAGAGTAACATCAGAGTAGATAAAGTAGTTTGAGAGAGTAAACAATTTGAAGATGGAAGTTGATGTGTGTGTATGAGTGTGTGTGGAAAGACGTCAAGGAGTGAGTGTGAGTATGCATCTGTACCATTGTGACTGATTTTCAGTCATGTCATCAAGGCTCATCAACCATTGATTCCTTTTGTCTCAGGGACCCCAACCGGGCAGTTAACATTCCCCCCCCCACACACACACACACGACTCAGACGAACAGTAAGAAACTTCATCAACTGGTGTCACATCTTGATCTGATCTCCCTGAACCCTCTTCCAACCTAATCCAACTTCTTCTAGCATGGTATGTTGAGACAGGTGGGGGCTTGGCATGCACTATACTTGTTCAAGCCATCTCAGTCAACTAAAGTTTACAACCTCGTCAATCGACTTGCCTATCTTGCCTAGTACTCTTAGCTTGACTTCTTTATTGCTCACAAGATGATTCCACCAAAGGTGAGCAGTTCTACGATAGCTTCATGTCCCCTACTTTTAGCGGTCATGTCCAGCCGTATATCAGGACGAAGTTAACTGAAGCGAAGCATACCCATCGTTCAATGAATAGTCGGATATCTTGCCGGCGCTACAGATAACACAATTTGGCAAATGACAAACAGGACTTCTGTATCAGAGCTGACATTTCGTCATTAACCAGTCCATTCAGGCTAATTCAACTCGCCAAGTAAGTTAAGTGGTCGACACATTTCACCACTTCACTCTCTATCTTGCGATACATTTAGGCAGCGAAGCTTTAGTTGAATAAAAATCTGATACGGATGTCAGGTATTTTCGGATACGAGTAGATGCACCATGCTTCACAATATATACACATAACGTCTCGATAATACTTCATTAGAGTCTTGCTTAAATTTCTAAGCAACATAACACACGTCAACCATAATGCTTTTTTTCACTAATGTAGTTCAAATTTGTCTGTTTCATCGGCTGTATTCAGATTTGAACACTGAAGGCAGAAAAATTAAACAGTACAAGGGATTCGACACTGGAAGAAAGACTTAGAAAAGCCAACATCTAACAACATCTGACCATCAAGACAAGTTGAAATAAGCAGTGATGAAGGGTGGCTAATTAAAGTATAGATAAATATAGATAAAAATACGATATCAATACCGCTATATAGTGATAATCTTTCTACCTTTTTCATGGTTATGATTGTGAGAGTTGTGTATAGTGCCCATGTGGTTAATCGAAACGTTTGTCTCTGACTATTTCGATATAAAACTTTGAAAGCTGTTTGGATATTAATTTCTAAGAACCCCATCACCCAACTGCGCATATCAAACTTTCATACTCCATTTGTTTTGGAAGGTATTTAGGTACATGTTCTCCCACCCACAACAGCAGGGCTAAATTCCTCCTTCCTATGCATATGTGACCACACATGTGACGTAATCACTGATCGACTCTTTAGATTAGTGGTGAAGATTGTGCTTCGCTTTTTTCCACAAAAACAAGCCTACCCATATAACATGTTTTCCTAATAGCTGATGTTAGCCTACGTATCAAAAGTATACTATTCAACTCCCCTTTGTATGGTAAAGTGATATGGACGCTTTTCTAAGGAACCGTGAGTCGAGTTGGCTTCAGTGATACCTAACTTCTACAACAGTTTATAAACGTCAATAAACATCCATTTTTCATAAGCGGTCTCATCACTAATTTGGTATCTCCATCTATCGTATCTGATGTACACATACGACAGATCCTATTAAACAACCAACTAACCATCTTCGTGTCGACCCAAGAGTACATTTAAGAATAACAGATGTTTCTTATTCTCTTACTTATAAGTCAGGCTCATATCAGTTTGCACGGCGTAAAACCTTTGGGATTTATGGTTTCATAGGAATTGGCCTACTTCTTCGAGGTTATCTAGTTGAGTTGGAGTATGCATACGATATTGTCGAGTCAGGTGAAGATGCTGACAAAATCCAGGGTCGACTGAACACCTGAAGCAAAAATCTGAGTAGGTTTGGCATGCGTTTTGCACCTGTTAGATGTAAGATGATGCTTCCAGTTTAAAAATGAGAGAAGTGGTCGAATGGGTCGACCACTTACTCAAAACGTTCCATCAGATTGAACGGCCTGGTTGCTGACGCAATCTAGAGTCGGATACAGAAGGCCTTTTCGATATTTGCCAACTTGCGCCATCGCTGGCACCAAGTGGCAAGATATCCAACTATTTATCCTTTCTGTCCTGTCATCCACTGTAAGACATGGCTGTTAAAAATTAACACATACGTCTTCGCAGTATTGTTCGCGTATGGTAGAATTACCATTTAGGAATGTAGAGGACAGGGAAAAAGGTACTAGGCAAGAAAAGCAAGTCAGTTGATGAGGTCGCCAATGTTCATCGACTGAGATGCCTCGGATGTGTACCGCATGCCAAACCACCGCCAACTTCAACCTTCTATGCTAGGTTAAGCTAAATTAGGTTGGATGAGGTTCACGGTGGCCAGATCAAGATCTGGCAACAGTCGTGTAGGAGTCTCCGAGACGATGGGAATCAGTGATTGAGAACTTTTGGTGATATGACTGAAAATCGGTTAAAAGTGGCGCAAATGTACTAACTCTTCGGAGTCTCCTAAAGCTTCAACATATTCGTTAACCTTTTCAAATTCTTTCTTCTCCCATATAGCTTTGTATACTTTGATTTCAGTTTATTTTTATCCACTTATTCTTTTCATGATGCTGTGAAGTGTCGTGAATTGAATGGATGCTCTTCTCTGAAAGGTAATTATTTATTATTTGCATACACCACATAGTGTCCAAATACTGGTGAGAAAATTCATCAAAATTATCTTCATCACATCTATCTTGGCGCCATCTACTGGATTTGAGTGATTACTACTCAGTAAAAGCTTCTATATGATACAGTTACAAAGAAATAAAACATTATAACGCATTATCGAATACATAACTTTCAAAAACGTGTGACATTGTAACTGTCACGTAGCGACAAAAGGCAGCCAATAGGGGAGTTGTTTTCAAGTCATGATTGATGCTCGCGCTGACATAAGAACCTGATTGGAGAAATTCAACCTTATACGACGAATCTGATTGGTTCATTTATGACTTCACTTTCTGAGAGGTTTGTAAATACATACATATCATGTATTTGCCAAATAAAAGTTGTCGTTGTTCTTGTAGACACAGGCCGTCTTTGTCTTCTAATTTTTCGCGACTCAATGAAGCAGAAGGTACTGAGGGAGGTCAATTGTAAAAGTATTCGTTTGAGGTGTCTATTGAGTTTCGGTATCATTATACCCATGCAGTCACAACACTAACAACGTAGATTTTTAGATGAAAAGAGACTGTACTTCAACTAGACTTCCAAAATTTTTGATGATGTTATATTCTCTTAGCTGGATTGTTTAATCGTAAACCTTTCATTGTCATTCTAGACACAACATCATTGTCCTGATGGCTTTGTGGGTAACTGGTTGTTTCTGCCTAGATCTAATCGATGTTGTTGAAGGTCAAATGTCTAGGCAACAGGACAACCAATCAAAATGAACATGGAGACAATAACAAAACCTTGACAGAAATAACCAACCAAAGACAAGGCCATCAAGATAAACTACTAAATAAATTGCAGAGAGAACCTTATCGCCCACTTCTTCCTAAAGTTTGTGCTGATGATGTTGCCTAGAATGACAATGAAACCTCCGCGAATAGACGTACCACTACTAAAAGTATTCTCCTAAGCTATAAATATTCTCTATCATTTCACTTTCGATAGGGTAAATTAAACCTATATTCCATTATTATTATTATTTGTCCCATGGGTTCCTAGTGGAACATAGGGATTGAGTAGCACATCTCCAGTGCACTCTCTTCTCTGTAAACTTTTGAACCTGGCTCCACGACTCCCCACAAGCTCTCATTTCTTCCTCACACGATCTGCCTCATCCTTGCCTTCGACACCCAATTCGTCGTTTCCTATCTGGGTTCCACTTGAGCAACTGGCATGGTACGCGATGTCCCTGAATAGTCTTCTCAATGCATGTCGAATCCATCTGCACTTCCTTTCACTGCATATTTGTTGACCGATAGGTTCCTTCTTCGTTGGTTCATTGCCAGAGTTCCTTGTTACTGATTCTTGTTATTCTGGCCATCCATCTGATCTTGAGTAACGAGTGAGCGAATGCGGTAGTTGTTGATGAATATCTGTAGTTTGTTGAAAATCCTTTTCGTAACGCGCCAAGTCTTACAACCATTGGTTCCAGGTTAATGAAAGCTTATCTTGCTTTTCTGATTCTGATTTTGACATCTTCGTCTATGCCTCCGCCGCTGCCGCCTGTAGTTGAAACAGTGTTGCCTCTGTCTTCTCTACGTTCATTTGAAGGAAGTCACCTCTTCGTTACGCTGTTTCTTCTATTAACTTGTTAGTCTTTGCCTATTGCATAATCCAGTCCACTATAATGAAGATATATTCAATTAGTATTAATAAATAAAAATTCAATTGAATAACACATACCTTGAAATAAATATCTCAGATTTTTCCAATATAAAACGTCGTTGATTAATAGATAAACGATTTGAATATGTACTATATAATAATTCATCTAACCAATTCATAAATCGACAAATATCATTGACACTACCTTCTGAAATAATCTGTTGAAATAAATCTTCTATATCAGTAGTATTTATATAATTTTCATAAATTGATAAATTATAAAATATTCGTAAACCATATATTGCATAAATATCACCAATTTGTAATGGAGTAAAATTATTATTATTATTATTATTATTGTTAAGGTGTATTTGTTCTACTATTTTCACCACAATATTAGTATCATATTCATTTTGAAGATAATTAAATAATGGATGTTCATGATGTAACTTTGATAAAAAGATTCATGGAGTAATTTAAGCAATTCTGAATAATTAATATGATTAAAAAAAATATCGATTTTTTTCATTTTTAATAAATTTTTTAATATTTTTCTATGTAATTGTATTTCAATTCCATCAAATAAATATAATTCACAATCATTAGGTAATATATTAAATAATAAGTTGATAGATGATAATTTCAATAAAAATGGATAAATATTTTCTTCACTATATTGAAGTAATTTTTTTAATCTATCCAATGATTTATTAATCCATTTAATAAGATAATCTATTTCTAATTGTATCTTTTCATTTATACAATCTTCATTATCCAATAAATATTTAAGTCGATAGAATACACCATGTAATTCAGGTATATTATAATATAAACATAATTGTAAACCAAATACTAAATGATTACAACATAATTTATAAATAACATCTTCACGATATTTATCATCATTATAAAAATATACTAAATCAATTATCATTGGAAATTTTATTGATAAATATTTAATTAAACTATTTTTTAATCCAATTATAAGTAGATGTGTTAATTGTTGTTTTAATTGATTAAATTTTCCATCATATTCCTTAGAAATAATAAATGAATATAATTTTAAACAGATTACTTTCCCTAAAGGATAACAACCACATGAATAAGTTGATTCATTCAAGTTTGTCTTATATATTGATATAATATAATAGTATATAATTAATAATATAATACGATATGTAATTATATCAAATTCTTCATAATTATTCAATATTTCTATATATGGTATTAACATACTACTTATTTGATGAATGTAATTTGATTGGTTGAAAGATAATAATTGACAAAATTTTGAACCAATCACTGCATAGCTAATTGATAAACGTGTATCTCTGCAAAGTGTCTCCATAACCATGTTAGACCATAGATTACTGCATAAATCATTACTATTACATAATATATCAGTATTATTATTATTATTATTGTTATAATTAGATGATTTAGACCAATTTGATAAGAATATAAACCATAGATAATATTCTTCATTATTATAGCCTGGATGGTGAATTAATCCAAAAGAATCCGATTTATTCAACTCAAATTCAGTAAATAAATTATCATTGAATATTGAATAAAATGGAGGTTGAAGTAATTGAAACTTCTTCATTTTCTTCTCTTTTATCTCTTTATCTTTATTAGAAAATAATAATTTTTCAACTTGTTTCAATATACTACTTATATTGAAATCTCCTTTATCAGTAGTATCATTGTTATTCGATAATTTAATTGACAATGTAATCCATTCAACACGTAGCATGCACACACCTAATAATTCATTTAAATCATATAGATATTCATGATTAGAACAATAAGCTAAAGCATATCTAGCTAAACGTAGACGATAATATTCAATATTCAATAATTTCATTGGATCCATATTCATATTTGTATTATACTTTATATGATATAAACAATGTAAATATGTCCATGTATATAATTGATCCTGATGATAACCAGCCCAATAAGCACATTGAAGCCAACATAAATTAGATGAAATACTCATTAAATCATTCATATAATTCAATGTTATATTCATTAAATATTCAATAGGATATAATTCAGTATTATGGTTGTCTTTTATATAATTGAACATTGAATGAATAAAACAAACTTTCAATTGTTCAATAGATATTAAAAAATTCATAGCTAATTGCTTGATATGATTTATTTCAAATAAATTTTCTAAATCCTTTAAATAATATAAAGATTTATTATCTTTAGTGAATAATTCAATTAATTTGTAAAAAATATTCATTAATAAACTAATTCGTTTATTGGATAATTCATTTATTAAATATTATTATTATTATTATTATTATTACTCCATAAATATCTTAATTTGTATGGTGATATATTGGATAAACGTTTATTCAATGGTAGTAGTGAATTCAATGTATTAATAAATACACAAGAATTGAGTAGATATTCTTCTAATTGAAATTTTAATTGTAATGATTCACTCCAATATTGATGAATATATGAAGAAGTATGAATAATATTTAGACAATAACGTGCCATATATTCATTAGAATCTTCTATCTCATTAGATAATGAATATGAGAATATGAATTGTAGATTTATTCTTCTTGGCATTGATGTATTGACATAACTTCGAGTAGCATTCAATAGACAAATTCCCCATTTCTCTAGTCTATCACTACTATCACATAAATTTGAAGTTATTGCCTCCAAATTAACAACATCATATTCATTGAAATTAAGACAAAAATCTCTTGATAATTCTAAAAAATATTCATTTCCTGATGCAAATAATGCATATTGTAAACCAGTATTCAACCATACTTCTGATGGATAACCTTTAAATCCTTTTGATAGACTACTGTGCAATTGATGAAGCCAATCACTGCAAAACAATTACAATTTAGAACATAAGTAACAATTAACATGTATATATATATAGCCATTAGTGCAAAAAATTACATACTTCACCATCCTCTACACACCATACAATAACAGTGTACTCCACCTGTAGCTCAACTTCATCCATTTTCAAAAGACCTTCAACAGCGTCGACTAACAAGTAGTCTCGAAACTGCTGCTTCAACAACACGCTTATACTCCCACAAACCTTGATCAACCTCATTCTACAACTATATATCACCACCAAACATACCAACTGATTCACAATACAAAACTCACTCATCCCTTCGAAGTGAACACAGGAGATACCAGTAAGACAAGGTTGACACCACCTATCACCAATCATCCCTCCTCACTATCTATCATCAACAAACTGTGACGACCGAAAAAAAACCGGCATACGCTGGCTCTTTCACACATGAAAACACCCTACACCATTCCCATGGATTTCAACCACGATGATTTACATCAAATGTCTTCTCGAACAAACTCAAACATCTACACGCGAAAACTAACAAGTTGACAGAACAGGCAGGGCAGCGAGGAAGTCGTCTCCTTCCCCTACCCATCTATCTACACATCATCCTTTCAACTACACGTCGCACACATCACTATATCAAAGCCACGATACAATAGACAGCAAGACACCCCTTCATTTCTAGATTTTAACTTCTTCGCATTCATCTATTCACATAACTTCACTTCGAGTAGCATTCAATAGACAAATTCCCCATTTCTCTAGTCTATCACTACTATCACATAAATTTGAAGTTATTGCCTCCAAATTAACAACATCATATTCATTGAAATTAAGACAAAAATCTCTTGATAATTCTAAAAAATATTCATTTCCTGATGCAAATAATGCATATTGTAAACCAGTATTCAACCATACTTCTGATGGATAACCTTTAAATCCTTTTGATAGACTACTGTGCAATTGATGAAGCCAATCACTGCAAAACAATTACAATTTAGAACATAAGTAACAATTAACATGTATATATATATATAGCCATTAGTGCAAAAAATTACATACTTCACCCTCCTCTTCAAATCTCTACGAACAAACAGCGAAGACCTAAAGCTTTGCAACAACTAACCGTGAAATCATCCTGCTGACCACATCAAGCAAAATATTAAGCCACATCCTCTTGGAATCACGACGTACAAATCATATAGGGGTCATATTACAACGCGAAACTACGCATCATCATAGAACACAGCGTACAATGGACATATGCTGGCTGTTTGACAAAAGAAAATAGCCTAGAACATTTAGATTACGCCCACGATGTCTAATGTCACACAAACTAGAAGGTCTACGGGTAAAAACCAACAAGTTGACAGAAGACCAAGCGAACACCAGACTTCCTTCAGGTGAACACAGAGAAGACACACGTGATGAAGATACTCAACCGAAAATAAACAAGCACCATCAACGGGAGGAACTTAAAGGAAGTGGTCTCTTTCACCTACCTAGGCAGTATCATTTCAACTACAGGCTGCAAAGGTACAGATGAGGATGTCGAAACCAGCATACCAAAGACACTAACACAGGCCTTCGTCAACCTGAAACCAGTGTGGAGATCTACTGCACTCAGCACAAAGCGTGAACAACATCCAGATTTTCAACACCAACGTCAAGTCGGTGATTCTATATGGTTCAGAAACGTGACGCATCACGGAAAGCATTTCCAACAAACCACAGACATCATATATCAACACCTATCTACGCTCGATACTGAAGATCAGATGGATGGTCAGAAAAAATAAGCAAGCAGGAACTCTAGCTGGCTGGCAACGAACCGACCAACAACCCATCACCCAACAAATATGCAGAAGAAAGCCGGGATGGATTACTTTGGGCATACACTCAGAAGACCAGGGCCCCCGAGTCGAACCCAAAGGGGAAACGACGAGTTGGGCGTTCGACGATGACATGGAGGAAATGGTATGTGAGGAACAAATGAAAGCTTGTGAGCAGTCGTAATGCCAGGTTGAAAAGACTACAGAGAATAGAGCGAAATGGAGATGTGCTACTGAGACCCTGTGTTACACTAGGAACCCAAGGGACAAATGATATAATCAAATCTATTAAAGGATGAGTATACAAGGACAGTGCAGTTCGTTCTGTTCTGAAATATGATTGTGAGACATAGCCGTTAAAAGTAGAAGACATGAAGCTATCATAGAACTGCTGGTGTTTGCCAGAATCACTGTGACGAGGTTGTAAACTTTAGTTGACTGAAATGGCTTGAACAAGTATAGTACATGTCAATCCCCCACCTATCTCGACACACCATGCTAGGAGAAGATGGATTAGGTTGGAAGAGGGTTCAGGGAGATCAGATCAAGATGTGACACCAGTTGATGAAGTTTCTTACTGTTCGTCTGAGTCGTGTGTGTGTGGGGGGGGAATGTTAACTGCCCGGTTGGGGTCCCTGAGACAAAAGGAATCAGTGGTTGATGAGCCTTGATGACATGACTGAAAATCAGTAACAATGGTACAGATGTATACTCACACTCACTCCTTGACGTCTTTTCACACACACTCATACACACACATCAACCTTCACCTTCAAATTGTTTACTCTCTCAAACTACTTTATCTACTCTGATGTTACTCTTCTTCTTCTTCTTCTGTTCACCTGTTCTTTGTGTATTTATATGAAGTGTGGCAGATGGAGTTGATACACTCCTGTGTGCAAGCTTCCACGATGTTTTTATCAGTCAATCAGTCCAGATGCAGCTAAACATGAAGTATACGATCATTTGAGTGACCTCTATCAAGTATACTTTAAAAATCAGGTAGTGCTTGTTGAGTGAGTACTAGGATATGTATGTCAAACGCCTAGACTTAGAGTAGAGTCGTTTGGGTAACCAATGAGGGATCGGTTGGCGGCACGGTTATGCAAACCACGAATTGCTTCTAGTCAATCTGAACACTCCCATCATTGCCACTGCATTTATGCTGTTTAACATCCTTCCTCTATCACTCAAATCTCAAATCATATACATCATATGTTAATTGATTAAGAAGGATGTTGATTTCTGCTAGATGTTGCTGTTGCTCTTGTGATCGCTATCGTCTCAAGTTGACTCAGCCAGTCAGTCAGCCAGCCAGCCAGTCAGACAGGTAGTAGTATGATTAGCCGTTATATGTGTAATAGGTGCACCTCATTGCCTACTGCACGAATATTGAGTGGATTTCGATTTTCGACTTTCTTTTCTTCTGAATAAATAGTGAACTGAAATTCTAGGTAGTAAACACACACCAATTATCATCTATGACACTCTTAACTTAACTCTTTTCCTTTGCTGTTGTCATCGAACTGCTTTTTGTTTTCGATGTCTTCACATCATGTCTATCAAGGGTGGCGTGTACTGCACAACAGTCCTCTCTGTTCTACTTTATGGCTGTGAAACATGTCCATCGAAGGTGGAAGACATGAGAAGGCTTCACGTGTTTGACCACTGTTGCCTTCATAGTATAGTATAGGCTGTATTCCGTGATGTCACCACACCACGTGAGTAATGCAGAAGTCAGGTGTAGAGTTTTAGGGAGTAGAGGTGAATCATTTGATGAGGTTATGAACCTTGATCGACTGAGATGGGTGGTCGGGACACGTGTTAGGTACGCCTAGCCACCGTGTGCCTCATCACACAATGTTGTCCGAAGTAGGTTTAGGCTGGGAAAAGGTTCGAGGTGGCCAGACTAAAACATGGCGGCACCAGTGGATGAAGTGTGTGACTGTTGGTTTGGGGCGTGTATGGGTGGCGATGGAGACTAGGTGGTTTGGGTCTGTGGGACAAGAGGAACGAGTGGTGGTTGGAGACTGACTGTAGGTGATGATATGGCGTAGATGTGTCTCCACACACATTATCGTCATGTTAACGACGCCATACTGAATCTCACCATTTTGTCATTCTTCGTTTCTCTCTTTTAGTACTTTGTATTTCTCTTGACTGAATTTCCTTATGTTCATCTTGCAGCTGACTGCCTTTTTACTTGATGTAGTGATATGAGGTATGACAACTGGGAGGGTTACGCAGTAATGCCTGGTCTTATATTGATCAATGATCCATCCAAATTACAAGTTTATGTATGTAATATCCCTGTGAGATTGTGACACATAGCAGTGATAACTGAATATATGAGATCACAACAGGTTTTTGAAGGAGAATGATGAACCCAGCATCAAGTAAACAATATTGCAGTTAGGCATAAATGCGCACGTTGACCCACACACACACACACACACCTTCTACATCAAAAATGCTATATTGCTTGAAGTACAACTGGTCGGAATAAAACTTGATCGACATAAGGTAATAACTAATACATGAAGCCTCTGAGTCATGTGTTCTCAGCTGTGGCTAAAGACCGTAGCCTCTCTCTCTCTCTCTCCCCTCTCTCTCTCTCTAAACTATCATGAAAGGAGAAGTATTAAACATTACCTACTATGTCAATCATAAACTTTAGAGAGAAAAAAAAACACAATAAATCAATACAATAATCGAGTGAGATAAAATACCTTAATTCCTTTACAAATGTTTCTGGTATTCGTTTTCGTCGTATAGTATTATCGATAATTTCATCAGTAAGTTCATATTCATAGACAATAGTTAGACGAGTAAAAATTTGTATCCAACTATTCAGCATATTACAAAAATATCCAGTATCATAACTACATCGATAGAAATAACCAATAGAATTATAAGGTAGATTAATAATAGATGAACCAACACGTTTTCAATCGACTTGACTAAAGATTGAAGTTCAGTTAAGACTGAAGTAAAACGAGATACTAATTGTATATCCTTTATTAATTTCTTATACTCTTCAATATTATTAGTATTTTGTAAAGTGATAGAATCTTGAGCATAAATAAGCATTGCATTAATAAGACAAGTTGCATCATTCAAGTATGTAGTAAATGAAATAGTCGATTCATGTTGAAGAAATGAATCAGATTTGTAATTCGGTTTGTATTCAATTAAAACATACAACAATCCTGATAAAAGACGATATGCTATATGGACAGAAAAGAAGGAAAAAAAAAGAAGATAGAAACAATATTAAAACAGTTGGGAGCACTGGACAATTGTTTCGTTCAACTATTATGAGACTCTTCAGCAGCGCGCACCCATACTCAACGCTGACACTGAGTGGCAGTCACACTATGTTGTTAATTGATAGAAGTTGGAAATATCTCGACCAGTGGATTCTGATTCACTGGCTCAATGGTAACGTGCTGGCCATGGAACCGGAAGGTCCTTGGTTCGAGCCCTGGCGGGGTAGTGGGTGAGCACTTCTGAAGAGCCCTATACAGTTGGGATGAGACAGATGTCCAATGCTCCTAGGTTTCCAATATTCCTCAAACTGATTTTAAGTTCATGATGAATACCAACATGGAAAACCTTTAAATTTCCATAAACATCGCATGACCGTTCTTAGTTGCTGAAGCGATTTGTCTGATTACTTCCGATGTATGGGGCTGTTTTCGATGGGTACAGTGCTGGATTTTACTTCTTCGAGAGACAAGCGATATATTTAAGTTGCACGAAATTGACACCCTTAGATATCCACATATGTGCTACAATGACGGTGTCACTAAGTCTAGAAACCTGGCCTGAAGAGGTTGGTCAGCTTGTTTTATCACCGTCATGAAATTATTCCCTACTAACAACGAATTCCTGCCAAGTGCAAGTCATACAAGGGTAAGCTGATTATGTCCCTGCCGTTTGTATACACCACCAGTCGCTACTATCGATTGAATTGGTTTAGTGGTGCCGTTGGATTGGTGCCGAGAAGACGAGCTAATTTGAGTGTTTAGAGGAAGTAAAAGTTTTAACAAGGTTTCTGTAGGTGAACCTGAGGAAGGATCATTACCAGACATATATATATATATATATATATATATGTTTTGAAGAGCAATACGGACCCACAACATGTATACAGAATTAGACAACTAAAAACTACGTGAAATTTAGCTAACAATGCAAAAGGATCAAGACAGGGCTATAATTGTCACTGACGACAGAGAAATCCAAATTCATCACTACTCATCATCATCAATATCAACATAGGACGAGGCACTACTGAGTAACGGTCCGACCTCCCACCACACCTCATATCACTACATCAAGTACAAAGGTAGTGAGGTGAAGGATGAAGATAAGAGAGTGAAATCAAAAGAAATATAAAGTATAAGAAATAAAGGAGGAATGAGAAAATGGTGGGATTCAGTATGGCGTCGTTAACATGAGGATAATGTGTGTAGGGATACATCTGCGCCACTGACATCGGTTCTGAGCCATATCCCCTAGAGTCTTCAGCCATTCATCACTACTGCAGAAATATAAAGAACAACTGTAAAATCAGTAATAGTTTTCAGATTTCATTCATATCTAACAGTCAATCACTAAAAATATTACGAGAATTCTTAGCTAGATAGAGTAAGGATGTGATGGTTGAGTATTTTCATGGTACAACAGACAAACAAAATCATCCTAGAACCTTAGATAGAAGAGCATCGGAAACTTCTTCCAACCCAACTTTCCTTCAACTAGAATTTTACATCAGGGCAGATGATAGCTCAGCGTGCGCAACATGCCCAAATGAATCTAGCCCACAAATGTTCACAATCTCATCAACTGATTTGCCAAATACCCATCGCTGCATTTCAACACTTCTAACACAGATTTCACCATAAGTAAACAAAGTAACGAATACACCTATGTTCGAGAACTTGCAACCTCTTTATAGGTTTACCTTGTGCGAATTCCAAGTTAACCAAATGCTCACCAGGTAGCAGATCTTGTGATGTCAGAGGTAGCATACAGCATGTCCATTAGTATATACATCCATGAAGAAGTTAGACAGAAACAGTAACAGAAGGCATCCCTAATGGATACTACTAGTTTTTGTCAATTCCTATGACCACTCCTCAGGACCCCTTATGCAACTGTGTAAGTTCGAGTAGAGAGCTTTGATAAGCATTATATACTTATTCAATGCCTCCTTTACAGTCAGGTACTGTCATAGCACCTCGCGGTTGACAGAGTCAAATGCACCTTCAGGTCGAGAAATATAACGTGTTGGCCGTCGATACTTATGCTTGTGTTCTAGAATCTGTCAGAGAGTGAAAATTCGGTCAATACAACCTCAATCACGTCTGAAACCTGTCTGATTTGTTTGAGTTTCAGTTAGGCGTTAGATTACTATGAATCCTAGGATCTTCGATACAATATTAGTAAGACTAATTCCCCTATGGTTGTCACAGGAAGACTTTTCTTCTTTCTTATAAGCTGAGATGATTAGTGAAGTATATCAGTCTGACGGCACTACCTCTGATTTTCATACACTACCTAGTACCTCCATCACTCTAATCACTAATTTCTTATCTCCATCCTTGAAAACTTCAGGTGTCAAACTGTCAGGTCCTGCTGCTTTTCATCGTTTCAGGTTCGATAAAGCTTTCTCAACTTCAATGAGAGTTGGAGGACCGACATCCACATCCCATTCAGGTTCAAGCTGGATGCTGGGCAACTGAAGCGTTGCTGAGAACTAGTTGAAGTGTTTCAAAGTGGTCTGTTCAACGTTTAAGTTGTCTGTCCAGGGAGATTATTAGTGTTCCATCGTTTTCGGTGATGGATTCATTCACCATCGTCTTTTTCTTCTCAGTGTTCTTAATATACATGAGTGGTTGTCGAGTGTTTCCCAACGCTGATGCCTTCTCCACCTCTCTTGCTTTCATCGTCCACCACCACTACTAGCGATCGATGCGAATAGTCTTAGTCAACTTACGTTTGAGTTGATTTCGCTCTTCTTTGTGGTCAGAGACGGACATCTGGAATCAGTATTCTCGCTCGCATGAGCCAGTTCGGATGACGTGGTGGAAATCTAATGATATTTGTTAACCTTCAGGTGTAGGTTCACAATTATTTTTACCTCTGTTTCCACAGATGATCTGATATAACCCCAGGTTTTCTCAGGATGAGCGTTGCGGTCGCGTTCATACAAATACTTGGCTAAGTCCTCCATAAATGCGTACTTGGCATCCTCATCCACCAACCAGGCACAAATGGGCCGCACTGCCTCATATTTCCTGTGGCCAATAAGTCATAGACATGCACGAACTCGCAATAGCTCGTAGTCAGAGACCAAACTGGCACTCTACCGATCCTATCCAACCATGACTTTAAGCAATGTGATCTACTTGTGTCTATCGTTGGTTTAGTGTTAGCTGACACTATGTATGACAGTGTTTCGCCATATGCCTAAAGCTAGTGTTGGTCAGAAACGAGTGATTGTCGGGACAAAATCGCAGAAGACAATCACCGTTGTCGGTTTGTTGGCACGGTATTCCATAGATACCTCCAAGATGCCTTTCCGATTGTCTCAGCTTCACTATATTTGAGCGTTAAAGTCACTCGCCATTATGACTATATCTGAACGCGTTGCTTTCCGCAGAAAAATTGTCAGCTTCACATAGAATTCATCGTTTGCATCATCTGAACTACAGTCGGTGGATACGTAGGTGAAGATTATGAATTGGCATCACCTGGTTTCATGATCCTTCCTAGTCCTTATAGATCCATTCAGTCAAACAGTATATAGACGGTTGTTTACTGGAAACCAGGTGAGGAGAGCACTTTCTGTTCTACAACTCAATGCTATGCCTACACCATCGAGTCCATGAGAACTAGCCATTGCGCCTCTGGATCCTCTTGGAGTGAATTTTGAAGATTCACTACTATGCTCAGGTGAGGTCAACTTAATAACCACACTCGGGTCTTGTATACGTGTCTCAGAGACACAGCATACGTGCATGGCTACAGATTGCAGAGTTTCGGCGAGCGATGCTTGGTTTCCGATTTGGCATAGAGTTCCGATGTTGAAAGCTGGTACATGAAATCGATGACACAGTCCTAGGAGACTACGAATGAGGTTTCGATGACTTTGATCGTTGACAATGGTCGCAGAAGGAGAGGTTGAGGAAGGCGTAGGAGGCTTACTATTATTATCAGGAAGAGACAAAGTTGAGGAAGATAAGTTATGTTTGATCGGGTCTTGTGTACTACTGGAAGCGTGAGGATGGTTGACACCTCCCGGCTGCCCACACTGTGGAAGGCTAATTCTTCCTAAGGTACCTGAAAGAGATCTGAGCCCAAGGAACATCTGCAGGAGGGCCTGTCACACATGGCCTTTTATGGAATAATGTTCTGAGGTTTGGTTGTTACAACGCCGGATAGGGAGAACTCATACTGGCGGTACCGGAAGACCGTGGGGCACAGGGAGTCGCTTATTTTCGGAGGTTGGTCACGACAAATGGCATGTAGTATGCGAGATGTAGTTGGACATAGGTCCTACTGTTTCGGATCACAACTAACCACTTATGACTGATCTGAGCCATCATAATGCATCACCTCACTGTTTAAGAATATGTTAGGAGTAACTGCTTTTGTATGATGACTATCCAACAAACCTTTCTGGTATGGTAGAGCCTCAAGCGAACAAGAGTTCCACCAGCATAGCTCATTAGGTCATCGTGATATGTAAGCCCAACCACAGCGTCAAGGTAGCAGCTAGATAACTTTCGACTGATATTAAGTGTGAACCAATTATTAACTATGATTTTAAAATAGGTACCCCTATCTGAAAAAAAATGGTTATTACAAAATTGATACATGTTAAGTGTCAGCAGTCTACAGCAACATTCAATACTGAATTTTATTTCACACTACTCATAAGTAGTAAAAAAAACTATTTCATGAAATTCTAAAACATTTCTGAGGCAGTTGTTGTTTTGATAAGACTGACATGACCTTTATGTGTCAAAATCCAATAACTTGAGGAGTAATTTACATCACGAGATCTGTAGACTTTTACAAATGAATAACCAAGTTCATAATTGTTTGAAGTTCCTTCGAAAAATGAATCACTATGCCATAATCTAAGGGAACTTGATACCTGATAGATTTATGACGGTGATTAACTATCCAGTTGAATGTATCTGATCAAAACTGATTACTATAATCAGTGGAATACATACCAACTTATAAAAATAATGCGGCTGGTTAGTTGTTTGAACTTTTCGGATGAATGCAAGTTATCAATAAGTAGTAACAAGAAATTTACAATAATTTTTCCAATGAAATGAAAAGAGTTCTTAAAAGTTGTTCATCAAAAGAGTATGGACGCAAAAATCATCAATTAGGGTAGTTAGTACCTCCATAAGACATAGTATTGGGTCACGGGTCCGAATACCGACCCACTTATTGAGGTTTTGGTAGTCAGGTAGTTTCACCAGCCCTTACACACTGTATGTAGCTCATTGTCTACTGAACGAATGTACACAACGTAGCTCAGTTGATTTCGATTTCTTTGATATTATCGTGTAAAGAATAAACCAATCAAAACTAGTAGAAACCTGCGCAAAGAGTGTATAGTGGGCGTTGCTGATAACAATGGATATAAGTAGTATATGTTGAGAGGGCGGTATAAATCATAGGGAATTACCAGCAATAAGTAAGGACTGTGCCAAGAGAAACGGAACACACAACCCAAGGGTATGAAGAGCAAACCAAGAGAGAAGTAGAAGAGGAAATGAAGCACATTTTGCAAATGAAGGTTTTAGTGCAAGATGTACCATATTTAACGACTATTGTTCCCCCTTCTCAGTCATCTTGTTACCTTTCAAGTGGACGAAGAGACAAAACAATAACTAATCGGTTCTCGAACATATCGTATTGTCTCTAATCCCCGATTTTGACTACCACGCAAACCCCAACTCGCAAGTCGACATTTTCCTATACAATTAAAATCAACAGTCAGTCATTGTCCAACACTATACCGTATTCTGGCTCTTCATAGTGCTTGGAGCTAACAGGAAGGCGTTCATATGCATCCATTAGTTCACAAGAAGCTATTGAGATCCACTAGCCTTTTCTAACCTATTCCACAGAGTCAGTTACGGTATTCAACACTATTTTTACAGCGGATTGAAGACAGCACCGAACTTCGTCGCATTTCGATAAGTGTTTATAAAATTCCTCGATGAATCCAGGCTTATTATTCTCATCATCAAGCTAAGATTGAGTTGGTTTTAAAATCGTAGTTCTTTTGCGAGTTGGTTCGATAACGCGTAGGAGACAGGAGAAGAGACCATCTTCCATCGATCCTCTCCAACAATAACTCATATCAATATGGTCTATCTGCTACTACTGTTGAGTTGAGCTCGGTGGACGCCGTGTTAGATAGTCTCTCTCCTTATATCTGCAGTTTATGTCAGCTAGTAATAGTTACCTGAGCGTAGTTGTAATACGCGGTCGCCACTATCGGTTTGTTCCGAAAGTTCTACTGAAATGCCTTTCTGTCGGACTTAGTGTACCCATTTGGACATTGAACTGACATGTTAGAACAATCACATGTAAGCGTTTGGCTTTCAGTAGTAGGCTAGACAGATTTCGGTAGAACTATTCCTACACTTTATCTGAACTGTATTTAGTTGGTGTGTAAACAAAGGTTACAAAAAGACAACAGTGAGTGTCCCTATTCTTCTTAGTGCTCGTTGCATCGTTCAGCCGAACAGCGCGCAGGTGACCCTTAACTGAGATCCAGTGGAGCGGAGCACCTTCTGCTTTATTATTTAGTGCTATATCTACACCTGTAAGACCTCAAGGACTAGCCGTCAAATTTGAAAAACTCAATTTCCCAGGTGAGGTTCACACTTAAAAGTCATAATTTAGTCTCTCACAAACATATAACACTATTATGCCTAGTGGGCCGTTGAAAGTGGAAGATATAAGAAGTCTTGAGGTGTTTGACCACCGTTGCCTTCATAGTATAGTGTAGACTGTATTCCGTGGTGTCACCACACCACGTGAGTAATGCAGAAGTTAGGAGCAGAGGTAAATCGGTTGAGGAGGTTATGAACGTTCATTGATTGGATTGGTTGGGACACGTGTTAGGTATGCCCAGTCACCATCTGCCTCATCACACAATGTTGTCGGAAGTAGGTTTAGGCTTGAAGTAGGCCCGAGGTGACCAGACTAAAACATGGCGGCACCAATGGATGAAGTGTGTGACTGTTGGTTTGAGCCATGTAGGATGGGGGCGATGGAGACTAGGTGGTTTGGGTCGGTGGGACAGGAGGAACCAGTGAGTGGTTGGAGACTCTGGGGGATATGGTTCAGAACCGATGTCAGTGGAGCTGACGTATCCTCACACACATTATCCTCATGTTAACGACGCCACACCGAATCCCTCCATTTTCTCATTCTTCCTTCCTTTCTTCTCCTACTTTATATTTCTTTTGACTTCATTCTCTTATCTTCATCCTTCACCTCATTACCTTTGTACTTGATGTAGTGATATGAGGTGTGGTGGGAGCTCGTAGGGTTACGCAGTAATGCCTGGTCCTATGTTGATATTGATTGATTGATTATGGCTAGTGAGGCCTGTTGGCTAATTTGACGGAGGGTTTGGACATTGAAAGCTCCGATAGGTAGTTTAAAGTCTGATTGTACGAGACCAGGGATGTCATTCTGTGAGACTGAATCGTTGTCAATACCTTCAGAGCTGAAACAAAATGCATAAGACATAGGAATAATGACAAAGAGGTGTGAGGAAAGGTTTCGAAGGTAATGATGTTGAAGGTTGATAATGCTTCAAAGGAATTAGAGTGCTGAGGACTTGTGGGGGCGCTTGACATTTACTGACTCTCCACAATATATAAGGTTATTCCTTCTTCAGGTAAGTGAAAAAAACGTTTGCTAGTAATGGTGGTAAGTGACTGCAGAGCCGTAAAGACATAGCATTCAGGCCGGTCACACATAGCCTTTACTAGTGTCTGAATATTACTTTCGGTTGCCTTGAAACTAAGTAGAACACCCATCTCGCCAGCATCGCTATACCGCAGGGTAGGAAAGAGTGTTCTATTTTCAGGTAAGATGTTTTCTAACCTTCTTTTCACATGGAGAAGGCTTCATCAGCATCGCACTACTAATCATCTAATGGAAATTATTTTACTGGTATGACTTCACATTTAGCCAGTAGTATATCTCCCCCCTTGTACTCTCAATTATAGCGCAGCGATTTACACTATGACGGTAACTAACACTATCTAACAAACCTTTCGGATATGATAAGACCTCAAGGAGAAAGTGTTCCCATCAGCATAACTCTTGGAGGGGGAGGGAAGTCATTTACGTATACAACTCCGATCATCACATCACCGCTATTAAGGATTAGATACACACAATTAAGCGAACAGAAATCCAAACAATCAATCAATCAATTTCAACATAGGACCAGGTATTACTGCGTAACCCTACGAGCTCCCACCACACCTCATATCACTACATCAAGTACAAAGGTAGTGAGGTGAAGGATGAAGATAAGAGAATGAAGTCAAAAGAAACATGAAGTACGAAAAGAGAAAAAGGAAGAATGAGAAAGTGGTGAGATGCGGTATAGCATCGTTGAGATGAGGATGTGTGTGGGGATATATCTCCGCCACTCACATCGGTTCTGAACCATATCCCATAGAGTCTCCAACCACCACTGGTTCCTCCTGTCCCACCGACCCAAACCACCTAGTCTCCATCGCCCCCATCCTACATGGCTCAAACCAACAGTCACACACTTCATACATTGGTGCCGCCATGTTTTAGTCTGGTCACCTCGGGCCTACTTCAAGCCTAAACCTACTTCCGACAACATTGTGTGATGAGGCAGATGGTGACTGGGCATACCTAACACGTGTCCCAACCAATCCAATCAATGAACGTTCATAACCTCCTCAACCGATTTACCTCTGCTCCTAACTTCTGCATTACTCACGTGGTGTGGTGACACCACGGAATACAGTCTACACTATACTATGAAGGCAACGGTGGTCAAACACCTCAAGACTTCTCATATCTTTCACTTTCAATGGCCATGTTTCACAGCCATACAGTAGAACAGATCGGACCGATGCGCAGTACACCCTTAATAGACAAACGGATATCACAGCGGCGCCATAGATGACGTAAATTAACAAAAGTCAATCGAGCCTTTTGTATCCGTGCAGAGATCTCATCGGCAACTGACCCACCAGGGCAGTGCTGATCCTACTTCTCAGGTAAGTGAAGTGGTCAACACACTTCACTCTCTATTGTTAGCCACGGCACTGTTGAAGACCAGTCCTGGAGCAACAATAAGCATTTAAGAACAAAAATTAATCAGGATATATCACAGACTTACGGTTTAAAATGTTTATATAATCATTGTTGTCTAGATTAGTAGCCCCAGAGATTAATTCATTTATATTTACTGGTAAATTATCACAAAGATTACTAAATGATCTCAATTTTATTGTCTCTAAAAGTTTAATATGACCAGTTAAACCAATGTAATTTGCTGAACACAATAGACAATATTTAATCAATTCATCATAATCAGTTGGTATACATTTCTCCGCCAAATGTGGTAGCAATTGATATATAACATAGGCAACTAAATGATGATCTGAACTAACTGATGATAATGTATCATATGAAGTGTTAGAATTAATCAAATTTAGATGAAGTTGAAGGAGATAATTTAAAATAGACTTGGAATTAAAATGTTGAAAATGTTTCATATTTAACTGAAATGTTTGTATCCCATCATTGAATTGTTGAACTATCAAATTGGGGATATTGTTAGAAATATTTAAAATTGTACTTGGAGATATATGTTCACTGTAGATAATCTGAAATTTTAATCACATAATAAAACAGATAAAATGATGTGATGTGTAGAAAACTATCGATTGATACATGTAATTCCCCTTTGTTATACTTGGTCGGATTGCTCAACCACTGTTGGTAGATGTGTCTTATTGCCTACTTTACAAATGTGCACGTTTCATTTATGATTTGTCAGCTGGATGCATCTGGCTTCCTCCCCCCCCCTCTTCCCAGCGACTGATGTTGTTCCAACCGATACTCGAACCAAGTACCCATCGATTCAAACGCCAAAGCATTATCCACCAGGTTGCCATTTTTCCTCTCACTTATCAATCGTCAGATTAAGCACTATTTCATAGTACTGGAATGATGACTGAAGGTAAAATGGAAATCTAGGTTGCAGTGGAACTCGAACCAGTGACTACAAGGTTTTCGGTCCAGTGGTCTATCAACTGAGCTACGAGACTTCACTGCTGACCGGACCCTTTATGTCATTTCAATCACTAAGGGTTTTACCCAACTGCCATGTGAATTGTGACGCGTTACTGTCGCTTGACAGAACATACACGGTTGCCCAGTCAGGACTATTCTGATTCAAATCCACTAGAATTAGAGAAGAGAAGCATCATACTGATTATCGATTCGGGTATCCGAGATACCTGTGGTTTGGCAGATTCGTACTCATAATAATTTCAGATGAAATGAAAATTTGGACCATGGCAGGATTTAAACCAGAGACATTCCGGTTAATGGCCCAGTGTTCTACCAACGAAGCTATTTCATAAGTTGGGTGGACTTCCTTTCAACTACATTCTTTTGGTAAGTAATAGCGAATGCTCATCAAGCTATACAATAACAGGATTCTCGAATGCTAATTATTTCAAGGAAGGATGTGTACAGGTTACAATTATTCGACTATGTTCATGTTTCGACGCGATACGTTTAACGATAGAACAATGATTCCACGACAGGATATTCATCTGACACCAGAAAAAGAAAACGATGGAATTGAGAGTAAATTTACTTCAGCCGAATGCTGGTAGTAGCTGAAAACTCAGTAGGTTTATATACCCTTAGGTGACCTTGACCAGCAAAAAACGAGATGGCGTAATAAAACTGTAAAATGAACCAATCAGCGTTTATCATCCTAAACCGTGGTGGAAATAAGTAACACTGCATGCAACGAAAAGGAAGCGAAAGTAAGGCTTTAATTACACAATGATAATACATAAATATTATAGCTTAGTTTTTCTAAGGGATTAGCCCTCCCTAACAAGCACATATAATTGTGCCAAATTGATGAAGGCGTCATCAACCTCCTCCAGTATCAGGATCATGACAGCAAGATTCAAATCCAAGGGAAGGGAAGTCACAATCATACAATGCTACGCTACGCCACGCCACGCACCTAAAAATAATCCAGACGCAGATCAAGAGAAGGAGGAGGAATTATACAGACAACTGCAATCAGCACTCGACAAGACCCTAACCCACATAGCCACATCAAACTTCTAATGGGTGGGGTGACATGAATGTCAAACTCACAGCGGACAACACAAGAAGAGAACTCATCATGGGTCAAGAGACACTCGGTGAAAAGATGAACGAGAATCGAGAACTGTTTACAGACTTCTGTGCATTCAACGATTTGGTGGTTTGAGGTAGTGTGTACAAACACGAGGATATTCACAGTGACATGGATTGCATCAGACACCAGGACACACTAAAAATCACATCGACTTCATCTCAATCTGAAGTAAGTGTAAGCCCAGCCTACTGAACACAAAATCAAGATGGAGAGCAGATGTGGGTTCACACCACTCATTATCTAGTGCAAGGAACCTAACTTCAAAGTCACGCTCAAAGCCTTCAAAGCAGTTGGTGATGATAGACCACAGCTCGAATTCAACACTCAGGACACAAAGTGGACTGAAGGACGAAACTGCAGAGGACATCTTCACGTCAGCCAGTCATCAGGACAAAATGGGAGATATTAAACAATATCTCTGAAAAAAACCTACATGGAAAGACACTAGAACTCTGTGAATGCGACGTAGGAGAAAACCTGTATAACCGTGTTAGGAAGGAAGAAGAAGGGGCAAGACAAGGAATGGATCTCCACGGACACATGGAAGCTGATAGAGGAGGAGAGGAAGATGGTGATGGTGAAGGAGAAGATGAACCAGTGCAATGCATTGCAAGGATGAACAACCAAAAGAGGAATTGAACACAACATATAAAACACTACACTGGAAAAAGAAGTGAAGAGTGCACGCAAAGACAAAAGACACTTCTATGACACAGTGGCAAGTGAAGCAGAACACGCCGAAGGTAAGAGAGATCTGACAAGATTGTATCAAATAACCAGGTTACTACTATCTGGGAAGAGATCAACACAGATGAGACCAATGAAAGATAATGAAGGAAACCTAGTTACCACCAAAGAGGAGGAACGAAGGAAACAACAGGCCGAACACTTCAAAAAACTCTTGAATCGACCACCACCACCTGCAACTAGATCAGAAAGACCACCGACAACCCAACCGCAAAACTATCAGTGAACACAAGCCCTCCAACAAAAGCAGAAGTTCTGAACGCAACAAAGCTGCTGAAATCCGGGAAAGCAGCAGGACCAGGTGGAATTCCGCCAGAAACGCTGGAAACAGACGCTGAGACAACAGCAGACACACTTACACCACACCAGTTGCAAAAGGTTTGGCAGGAAGGAAAGGAACCTTCCAAGTGGAAGAAGGGCTACCTGGTCAAACTTCCAAAGAAGGGAGACCTAAGGCTTTTCAAGAACTGGCACGAAATCATGATGCTGTTCACCACAATCAAAATATTAGGCCACACCATCCTCGGGAGACTAAAAGATGCCCGGAGTCAAACTTAAGACCTGAACAGGCTGGCTGGCTTCAAGAAGAACAAACCATGTGCGGACCAAATTGCAACGCGACGCTAAGCATCATCATAGAACACAGCACAGAATGACAGTCCACTGCACCTATACCTCAACTTCATCGATTTTGAAAAGACCTTCAACAGCGTCGACTAACAAGCAATTTCGAAACTGCTGCTTCAACACTACGGTTATACTCCCACCAAACTTGATCAACCTCATTCAACAACCATATCACCACCCAACATACCAACTGATTCACAATACAAAACTCAGTCATCCCTTCGAAGTGAAGACAGGGGACAGCAGTACGACGAGGTTGCCACCTACTATCACCAATCATCCTCCTGATTGTCGTCAACAAACTGTGACGAGCAACAAAAGGGGCATACGCTGGCTGTTTCACAGATGAAAACACCCTACACCATTCCGATGGATTTCGACGACGGTGATTTACATCCAATGTGTTGTTGCACAAAGTCGTAGATTTACAGGCGAAAACCAACAAGTTGATAGAAGAAGCAGGGCAGCAAAAATGGGACTTCAAGTGAGTGTGGAGAAGACAGAGGCGATGAAGATACCCAACCAACAAGCACCAATCACCATGATCTGGGGAAACCTAAACCAAGTGGTCTCTTTCACCTACCTAGGCAGTATCATTTCAACTACAGGTGGCACAGGAACAAATGAAGATGTCAAAGCCAGCCAGGATAGAAAGACAGCAAGACAGGCGTTCATTGACCTGAAACCAGGGTGGAGATCTTCTGCACTCAGCACAAAGCGTGGACAACATTCAAATTTCCAACACCAACGTCAAGTCAGTGTTTCTGTATGGTTCAGAAACTTGGCGCATCACGGAAAGCATTTCCAACAAACTACAGACATCATACATCAACACCTATCTACGCTCGATACTGAAGATCAGATAGATGGTCAGAAAGAACAAGCAAGCAGGAACTCTGGCTGGCTGGCAACGAACCAACCAACAACCCATCGCCCAACAAATATGTAGGAGAAAGCCGAGATGGATTGCATTGGGCATACACTGAGAAGGCAGATTGGGGACATCACGCGTCAGACCAGGCCCTCGAATCGAACCCAAAGGGGAAACGACGAGTTGGGCGTCCGAGGGTGACATGGAGGAGATGGTGTGTGAGGAAGAAATGAAAGCTTCTGGGCAGTTTTAGAGCCAGATTGAAAAGACTACAGAGAAGGGAGTGAAATGGAGACGTGCTACTGAAGCCCTATGTTCCACTAGGAACCCAAGGAACAAATGATAATAATAGTAAAACCACATTTCCACTTAAGTTCAACAATATAATTAGATAGAAACAAGGAGATTGATTGTTGAATCTTTGTCCATCGAATCAGTCACATCCAATACATGTAATGGGAATGATGAAACATCCATGCATACAAGAGATATGGAAAATGTTACTACCAATAAAAACAAAGAAAATGAGGTGGATCATTGGAGCATAGAAATCAAATGTCGAAAGTAGTGTGATCCCATTGAGGTATAATTATGAGCAGTGATAATTTATGCTTGAAACGACGTTATCAAGTAAATAATCCTATATCACTGTGTGTTATAAATCAAATACACAAATCTAATATAGGATTGCATTCCACCACACTGCCAAAGTTTTACACTTATATGAATGAAAAGAGATTAATCTGGCTAGTAAGATTCTTCTTGATTTGCTTAAACCACTAAATTCTTTTATTTGCTTTCAATATTGAAGGAAAAGATAATAGTCTACAGATAATAATTAGGATCGCCTTAAAGTATCGGTAACTGACAGTAAATATTGCCTAATTAACCGTCCTCATATATCAGTAATAGAGAGTTTTAAAGAATGAAATGAATTTAAGATACTTAACAGTCTATTCTTTCAACTATTTACAGGCAGAAAAACTATAGAAAACCAGACACCATGAACTCAACGCATCTTTTTTCTTACACTTAGCTCCCTTTATAAATTTAAAGAGAGGCGGGAAGAACAAGGTTTGGACAATAAATATGTACGTTTCATTTGACGATTTCTGTTCAGCTGCAGGCAACTTAAAGCTATAATAAACATTAGGATTAACTGCTATGACCGGTAAATGCGATCAAGCCGT